CAAAAGCTGGCAGCTGCCCAATAGCCCTAGGTTTGTTGAAGATCCTGTGTTTGCTAGGATTAAGTCTGAGAAATACTTGTTTCTGTCTTTTATGAACATAAAATAGGAGTTTAAGTGTAGATGAGACAAATCTGTAACTACTATATGAATGACAATGTAAAGCATCTTAGGAACAGCCTTAGGATTTCTGTTCCCCAACTAGATATTTGTACTCACTTAGGAAGACAATTTAGACACTCAAGATAAAAGAAATATCCATTGCAGGATAAGGCTAGTTCAGAGCTGTTGAACTGGCAGCCTGTGAGATCTTAGGTTGCAGCCCCCAGCCCCACCTTCCCACTTTGTTTCAATTGCAGCAGCAGCTGCCAAGGTCCCTGGGTTCCCTCTCCCTTCTCCAGATTGCATTTCCTGTGCCTCCCTGTCCTAGAGGTATGTAGAAAAAGCATCTAAAGTTGCATCTATGTCCAAATCTCTGAATCAATTCAGAGGGTTATGATTCGATTTGGAGAGATTAAAGCGTCCTCCGATTTGATTTGGAGATTCAGCCACTGAACTGGGCCAGATTGAATCAGGGACCAAAGCTTCACACAGCCCTAATGACAACAGGATTTGGAAAAGGGCAGGGAATTTGGCTTGTAGACTAACATCAAGTGCAGGTATCCACAAGAGGCTGAGAAGCTTCCCAAGCACAATGGACAAATGGGAGAAAGCACAAAGAAGGTCCCTTGATAATTTGAGCAATGGGCAATGAAGGCTGACATGATGAGCCATTCCAAGGCAGAACTGAATCTCTTACTGAGATGTTAGCTAGGGCATGCATAAGAAGGGCCTTGAAAGAAGAGAGAATTTGATTGAGACTAACAGAGCAGAAAGGGAAAACTTGTTGAGGAAGGCAAAGCAAAGGGTTATGTTCATATGCCAAAGCTGTAAACACCAATCCAATCCAAGAGAAAAGGATAGACTGAGAGCTTGGGCAAGAGTTTTAGTTGTGCACATCTGCAAGATAGAATAGATCATAAGATTACACTGAAGGAGTCTACAAAATGTAGACAGAATGGGTACGAGAACCTTGCGGGAGGATGCCTAGGTGATCAAACTGACAGAAGTGGCAGCTGGTGGTAATGTCTATTGTAATTAATATAAATGTGGGGAAAACAAAGATTCAGCTCAACATAGCTAAAAGAGCTAATAAGCCACTGGTGGGACATCAACCAGGCAGAGTCAGGTGAAAGGTCAAAATTTTAGTTTAGATTGAAGTCTCATCCTCAGAAATGGAGGTTGAATTTTTGTTTTCAGGGGAGGTTGCTCAGAAGAGGAGAAAGGAAAAGAAGAGTAGCACTCTGTGGAATCTCATCTGCTGGAAGGAGGAGGAGGATCCTTTTAAAGACAAAGGGACAAAAAAGGTAGGGCAAAAGCCAATGGAGGACAGTCACAGAAGCTCAAGGAAGCCAAGATTCCCAGAAAAGCACAGCCATCTGTGTCAAAGTAGTTGACAGGTTGAGGGGTAGGAAGACAGTACTAATTTTGTTCTTTGGCTAAGAAAAGGTAGTTTGATACCATGATAAATGTAGTTTCACTAGAATGTAAAAGGGCCATTCCTGATTTGGAGACCCTCCAGCAGCTATAAATACTATGTTCAGTGTTCAGGGAGGGGAAAGGGAGGAGGTGTTTCTTTAAGAGACAGGGAATTCAGAATAGGATTGCATTTTGGAGGAGAAGAGCTAAAAGGAGAGGTTCTTCTCTTCCTTTCTCTTATTTTTAGGAGAGTTGTCACAGGGAAGATGAGGAGTTGGGTTGGGGGTCACAGGTATTACTGGAGAGGCGAGAGAGATCAGATGAAGCAAGGGAGAGAAGAGCACAGGGTTACATCATATTCTATCAGTTTTCTCTTGGCAGATATTTGCGAGCTCCAGTGTGCGCTGAGAAGTAAAAGTAGAAGAGGAAGGCTTGATGAGTTAACTAGAGACAGTGAACAGGCAGGTTGGAATGAGACCCTGGGATTCAATTCAGTTCAATTTATTATCCTTAAGATAAGAGATTCAATTTGTCTTCATAGATCACATACAAACATGGCATTTGTACAAGGGTGGATCTGGGCAGTGCCAATTGCCACTATACTAATCTCCGTGGCACAATCAGCTGCCATTGCAGTCACCCCTATTTTTGTGCCCACTCCTTCCTTCCCACCACACTAAAAGGTACCCAGGACAGTTACATCTCCTCAGTAACACTGCTGCATTACTGCCAAAAGGATCACCATTCTCTTGGTAGAAGTGACAAAAAAATTTTTGCCTCTTCTGGAAGATCTTCCAGCTCTCAACCTGGAACATCTCCCTTAGGAAAGCATTTCTCTTGCAAGAGTGAATTCTTGTCCACTCCCTCCCCATCTGGCCCAGCAGGATAGGGAGGAGGAAGGAAGCAGCAGCAGCAACTACTCCCTGACTGTGCAACTTGGCAAACTCCTCTGTTAGGAGGAGCTGAGGACTTTGCCCTGCTCAGGGTGGATTTAAAACAAACAAACAAAACAACCCCCCAATGTTTAAAACCTCTCCCCACAAAAAAACCACCCCAAACAACATTCATTAATATGATTTCAAAAAATATTTGTTCTCATTTACCTGCATTTGTATAGTGTACATAGAGGTGATTGTATAATAGCTTAAAATAAAGTCTTATGCTTGGGGGGAAGAGGGGAGACAGACAGAAAGAAGTGTGTGTTCTGCCCCCACGTGGCAGGCAGAACCCCTGCCAGTGCTGCTTCAAGCCCAGGCTCTGCACTCCTGCTCACTGCCACTCGCCCCTCCATCTGCCACCACTGCCCTTCTCCTGCCACTCCCCCCCACCCTGCAGCACCATGTCTCAGCTGCATGGCTGAGACCACAGGACACAACAGAAGTTGGACCAGCCTGGCTAGCACTGGATGGAGCCAGCTGAGAATCACAGGGGCCAGGCCAGCTCCTGCTGTGTCCTGAAGCCTAGTGCTGTAGCCAGGAACCATGTGGTGGTGGAGCTGCGGGGGAGTGGCAGGGAGCAGGCACATGGAGTACAGTGACAGCTGGGAGGGAGCATAGGGCCTGCACCCATGTGCCAGGCCCGGTGCCGGCAGGGGCCCAAAGTGGGCCAGCAAGGCCTCTATGAAGCCAGGCTGGGGTGCATCAGCAGGGAGAGGGGAGCCATCCTGGCTCCATAGAGCCTTACCAGCCTGAGCCCCATGCTCCTGCTACCCTTCCCTAGGCCCCCCTGGCCCTGGCCCCACACCAGCACAGGCCCTGCATTCCTGTCCAGGTGTTGCTGCACTCCTGCTCACTACCCCTTCTCCCCCACAGCCTGTTGCCACTTTCACTGCTTTCCTAGCTGCTGCTTTCCTTTCTCCCCTGGGTCTGCCACTCCAGCACCACATGGTTCTCTGCTGCAGTGTTCAGACTGCAGGAGCTAGCCCAGCCCCAAAGACTGGGGGTGGGGGGGAAAAAAACAAAACACCACAAAAAACACACGTGCTTGCAGTCCCCCCCTGCCTCCCCAGACTTATCTGAATTTCCCTCTCCAGCAGAGGGAAGTGGGAACAGCCCTAGGGTCCCCGGCCAAAAGCCTTGACTATGTGTGGGCTCCCGGCTGCTGGGGGGGGAAGTGGGCCAGGCAGGCCTTGTTGCTGGAGCTGCTGTCTCCCTCTGGGTCCTACTATTGCTGGCTCCTGTTACCTTTGACAGGCAGCCAGAGGCAGATAAAAATTAACATTTTCTACATTTTTTGAGGGGCCCTGTGGGTCAGATAGAATGGCCAGAGCTCACCTGTGGGCTGCATTTTGCCTGTCCCATTAAGCAACTGCAATAATTACTTTCAATTCTCAAACTATGGATTTAGGTCTCTAGAGATACAAGTTTGTGTACAGAGTCATGCCCTTACTTCTCTCTAAAAGATGCAAAGTGTCAAGAAATTAAATAAAAAGAGGATTGTTGGAGGTGGAGTAGATCTGGGCAAGGGAAGGAGTCTGGAGATAAATCCAAGGAGAGAGGGGTAGTAGAAACAGAAGAGGAATATTTTGAGCAGACTAATCCAGAAACCCTGAGGGATAAGTTTCTGAGTATAGTCTCCACATAGGTTTTCCCTTCTACCATACCATTCCCTCACTGGATTGAAAAAAAAAAATCAATCATGGCAGCAGGCTTGCCAGGCCTAAAAGAGACCCTGTTTAAATTTGAATAAAAGGTTATATCAAACAACAAGAATGCACTTTGTTTTCTGACCAGTGCTTCAAAACATAAATTTAAAATAATTTTGATTTAAATAAAATCCACGCTGGCCCTGCTGCTCCCTTCCCTTCCCAGATGGGTCTAGGAAGTAAGAAAGGGGGTGGGAAGCAGATATGGAAGCATTCATTTTTTTGAAAGGCAAATTTCAGTTCTAAAATATAGAACTCAAGAGGCCTGATCTCACTTCCCCAAGAAAGAATTTTACTAGATTCCTGTTTGCCTATTCAGAGTCCAGTTTTGGCTACAAAATTTCAGCTTATGTTTAAAGGAAGTTAGTTGTCATGGCTTTGAGTTATACAGCTACTCAAGGTTTTGGATTGAGATGATAATTATCTATTGACACTTTCATAATAATAAAAAAAAAAAGTTTCCATACTTAGTCTTCCAAAAGAGAGAAAAACCTGTAATTTTACTTAGTTATCCCTTCATAGGAATATTAATCCAAAACAAAGCATATTACAGAGTGCCAGCACTATAAACATAGTGACTATACTTAAAGAGTATCAAGAAATGTCCATTAGTTAACATCAATCTTCCTAATTTGATTTTATTTAAGCCATGTCATATACTTCATTTAAAAACAATTAAGCACTTCTAATACATTTAAAGTGAGCAACAACAGGGTCCAAATGCCTCTTCCAGACAGACAGGTTATTGCATGAAGTCTGGTGTAGCTTCCATTAGTAGTGGCTGAGGCAAGTCTTATGACTGGCTAGCATCTATAACAATAACTAAAGCCATTAAAAAAAAAAAAGTTTAAAATACAGTATATTTAATATATATGTGCAGCATCATCATACAGTTTGTGAGCATTCCAAAGGTCAATCCAGTCTTACCCAGCAGTTGTGGAAGTGATAAACTGTACTAGTGAGCCAAGTGATGGAAAGGCATCTTTCCCTCACATTTACCTGGGACTTGGTTTAAGTTAGGTAACCATCATAAAAGCCTTGCAGTGCCATTGAAGCTTCACTAGCCTTTTTCTAAACAGGTAAAAATCAATGATATTGGAAAACAAATTCTTGTCTATAAGGTGAGAAGTCAACACCAACAGTTCCAGCAAAGACCAGTGATTTAGACTGTGAAACACCTGAAGAGCTAGGTTAGAGAAGTACAGAACTACGACATGCTACTGGGGAAGTACAGTTTATCCTGCAATATCAGTGCAAACAAGTGAGGCCTTCTAGCAATACAGATTTTCAGGATTTCTGTAAAAAACACAAACACAAACACACAACAAACAAACAACACAAAACAAACAAACACACACACACAACACAAAAACAAAGTCAAGACAACTTTGCTTGGCAACAGCTTATACCTACAATTCTCATCCTGTACAGTAAATACAGGAAGCTCCTTGGGTCTTCCAGTTGGAAAGGCTACAGTGTCAAGGCTAGCCCATGGTTAGCGCTACTGTACCACCACCACTTCAGATAATTTTAGAAGAAACAGGTTTTACATACTAAGATCCTAGTATACAACTAAAAAGAATGCTAAAGCCTGCATTAACCTTCATACAATTAAAGAGGTTACTCCTCACCCACAACCAGTTCCTAGATCCTTTTGACAAGCTCTGTTCCAATTCTATTACTAACATTTAGGAGATTGTCATAAGACAGAATATACCTACCAGCATGGGTGCTTCAGCCTTTCTTTCATTTTTTCTATAGCTGTGCATTTGTAGAATTATCATTTGCATAGCCACCTTTAGACTTCATATAGTCCTGAACTGACCCAGCCTAGAAATAAATGCATTCTATTAAGTTCCTATCATTTGAACAGGATGTTTTACAAAGTATCCCATTGTCAAAACAAGGGTAGGTGTTAATTTGAAGAGGCAGAGAAAACATTTCTAACTTTAAACCCAACAGGTAAATTATATGCTTTTCCACAACTATATCCGTAGCAACTAGAAACATGAGAAGTTTCTTCTGTAGAGCCACTCTTAATTTACACTGATGAGATTTTCCTTTCAAGGTGTGCCTTGTTCCAACCTCTAAACTATCTAACTATATGCTTAGACCAAACAGACTAAAGTATTTGTCTGGCATTTTGGAAGAAAGTACTATACAAGTATTTTGAAACTAAATCAAGACAAATCTTGTGTATATACATATACACCACACACACACACACACACACACACACACAGCAGAAGGTCCACATATCGTAGTGATCACATACTTACAGATGCTAAACCATTAATCATTTCTCTTGTTCCAACATGAGCCGTGTGCACAAAGTTCATTGGTTCTCCTATCATACTCCGATCTAGTCTCCGACGCCTCTTCTATCAGAAGAGAAACAATAGTAAATTCTTATCCAGGAAAAAAAATATATATATATTTTTAAATGTAAAAACTAGGGCTGTGCGAGGCTTCGGACAGAGCTTCGGATCTGGAGAAGCTTTGGGGTCCGAATCAGCACATCTGGGTTGAAGTGCTGGCTTTGATAGGCTTCCCGAAGGGGTTCAGAGCTTCCTTGGAGACTCAGCCCTAGGGTATAATGGGGAAACAATAAAATATCTATAGCTTTGTTGTTTTTTTGTCTGCGTTGGATTAAAAATTCAGGAGTGGTAGACTCTGCAGAGAGGATGAAGCCTGCCAAGGTTCAAGAAGATTGGTGCAGGGGCTGGGGGGAACAGCACCCCAGATTCTTGAAAGCAAAACTCCTGTCATGTCTGTGTGTTACAACATGGGGGGGGGGGGGAACACTGCAGGGCTGGTAGCTCTTATTGAGGCCAAAAAGCCTGCCAAGTTTCAAGAAGATTGGTGTAGGGGTTTGGAGGACAAGCAAAACTCGTGATATGGGTGCTTGTGGGACTGACAGTGTCTCTCTTGAGGCGGGGAGGGGAGACACTACTGCAGGCCTGGCTGCTAAGCTGCCGTGTTACCAGTTACCAATCAATCAATCGCAATTCACTCAGGGACCAGCTCAATATACAGGACCTAGCTACTACATAACGGCTTAACAAGCATCAATCAACACCTACAAAACCAGGCTAAGGAGAGCAAAGAATCAATACAGACAATCAACTGACACAAGACACACAGTCTTGGCAGGAGTTCTGTCTGTCAGCAGCTAGGGGTGCAGGGCCCCAGAGCCCCCCTGCACCAATCTCTGACAGCTGGCAGCCATCACAGCAGGCGCCACCTTCCCTGCAGCTGTGACACTGCTGCGCCTTAACACACACAGGGTCACCCATGGCACGCGTTTTGTTTGTCCACTGCTTGAGGTGCAGTGCCCTCCAAACCCCTGTGCCAATCTGCTTGAAACTTGGCAGGCTTTGTGGCCTCAGTAAGAGCTGCCACCCCTGCAGTTTTGACTGCCCCCCCCATTCTAACATAGACATGACAGGAGTTTGGTTTTCAAGAATTTGGGGTACAGATCCTCCCAAACCCCTGCACCGATCTTCTTGAAGCTTGGCAGGTTTCATGCTCTCAGCAGAGGCTACCATCCCAGCAAGTTTCATCCACATTAACTATGTTTGGTTTTCTTGTCCATAGATATTTAATTGATTCCCCATTTTACCCTATGGCCTGATCTCCGAGATGGCTCCGAAGCTCCAGTAGAAGCAGCTCTGAATTGAGGCAGAAACCCAGTCTGGAGCTCCAGATCGGATCATGGCCATCCGAAGCAGTATGATCGGAAGCTGGATTGGATCATTGATGACGCGCACAGGCCTAGTAAAAACTAACAAGGCTTGTCTGGTAACTAGAACCTAATCAAATAAAAAAAGGGCCCATCCTCAACTCAGTACTGCTATTTTAGGGACTCCTGGTGGCAACAGAACATAGTTCAGAGCAGGATGTACCAAGTCACTCAAAAGCATTAGCTTTCATTTGTCATGAGTTGATTTGACCGGAATAACTAAAAGTTCTCTTTAATGCAAGAAAGCTGCTTTTATGTCAAGTAAAACGAAGACAAGTTAGAAAAAACCTATATGGATAGACAGGGGCAGATTCAGGTGTGGAGTGGGGTGCAGTGGTACAATTAACCCCTTTTGATTCCTGGTCCACCCAAAGTTTTAAACCAGCTGCCTAGCAACAAGCAGCAGCAACAGCTGCAGCAACATTTGTATTCAGGCAGCAGGGAGAGACTCAATCGTCTTTATGGCTCATTATAAAATTTACCCATTCCTTCTCAACACTTCTTTCCACAAAAGTGTTAACAACCCTCTACTTTTTTTAATGGTCTTGATGTTCCACTAATCACACTATGCTTTTTCAGCAATTCTGCTGTTTGTTAGCTGCTCCTGGTAATGTAGCTCCTATTTCAAAGCCCTGGAGACTGTTTTTAACTCTAGCTAGAAACACTAACTGAGGTGTGGAAACAATGTTCAGTGCAGCACTGGATGCAATGCTAAGGTTCTCAGGAAGGCTAGGCTGTTTTATGAATCTGAAAGCTGTACATTTAAACTTTAATGGCTACCGGATTAATGAAAAAGTGTGTATGTAATACATACATACATACATATGCACACACACACACACTTTTTCATTAATCCGGTAGCCATTAAAGTTTAAATGTACAGCTTTCAGATGCATATATTATTGGAATGTGTGTTCATGTGCATATATATACACACACACTCCAATAAAGTTGCACTTGCTTTTGCTTCAATTTTAAAATAAAATAAATATAGCCCTAGGCCCCAAGCCTATTAGTAAAACATATTATTTCTTAACTGCAGAAAAAAAGTGTATGTTATATGGGCTGATGTACCAGATCATCTGCACCTCCTTTTTCAAATACTAGATCTACTCATGAGGACAGGCACTCCCACATGGTTCCCGTCATACTTCTATTTGCATTTCACCCAGTACTAAGGAACAGGTTTACACAATATTTACAGTGTGAATATATTACTTTAACAATAAATGTGAGAGAAATAAGGAAGGAAGGACACAATGACGACTCGAGACAAGCCACTTTATGGTAAACAATCCATAGTTACTACAGGATAATGGATGAACCACCAGAGGATGGCCTCGCTAGTCTCCCCTCTTCCCAGAAGAAATATAATTGCAATTCCAAAATCTATTGAAAGCCATGTAGGTTCAGGCATTCAATGTAGGCAAAATTTGGCCTGCAGAGGGTCTAATAACAACAGAAAACCCAGCTTGAATAGGCTCACACTAAGTTTACAGCCTTAACTATAAAGCTAAAAGCCCAGTGTATTGGTCTTCAGTTTAATCAGCTGTTGAAACTTTGTGACTCCTTTAAGTGCATGCAGGCTAGAACTAATTAAAGACAGAGACATGACAAGAATTGCATAGCTGTTTTCCCATGTCTAAATGCTGGTGCAGAGTTTACTATAATATAAAAAGTAAACCCTTCCCAAAATAGAGTACTGTATTTACTCCTAGCCATTCTAAGGAACAAAGCTTCCAACTATAGCAAAAGAGCTAATTATATTAAGGCTAAGTGATCCCTTCCCTCAAAAAACCTGTTTCTTTCTTTTCTCCTATTGTCTATTAATGGGCAGCAGACACTTGCATCTGTTCCATGTCCACCCTCCTATGACAGGCCCACATGTCCCAGAAAAATGTGAAGATTGCAAGAATCCACTCACTAGGCTCTTAAGACACTTAATGCCCAATAGGGGCCACGCATCTACTTGATGTAGACTACATATGCATGCCCACAGGATGACCTTTCATAAACTGGTACAGGTGGTTAAGGTTTCTCTACAATTTAAATTTATCTCACATTTAATGATTGTATTAGAGAGATTGTTTGCAACAAAGCATTTGTTGCAAATCCTCTGGCTTTTTAACATGTGTTAACAAACCCACTTTGGAAGCAGGTTTAATGAGACCTGGGATAAATTTACTGACAACAGAACAGGTATGGATGTATCATCCCAAATAACCAATGCACATTTGCTAAGTCCTGCCATTGGAGCCTCACACTGGTTTGCAGGCTAACAGGGTGAACCTGTCTACATACCCGTGATTCTCCAATGCTCCAAGGTTATCCTGATCAACTCTAATCTCCCTGTTCAAATACTAGAATGGAAACAGGTAGTTTGCAT